TATGTGTATATAGTCTAGCAGCCATAATATTCTATCTTTCAATATTTTCTCAGTCTGATTTGACATGATAGCTAGGATGTAATGAATTGCATTGCTAAACAGTGTTTTATAGACTATCAAAATCTGATTTGTTTCTAGCTGGTTCAAGTTACTACTTGCGCAACAGCTATTTGTTTTTATTAGGAATAAATATATGGAACATTATAGAAGCTGATACCTATTTATCTATCCTGGGATTTAATCTGCAGGAGGGTGACGCTGCAGCAGCAGAAGAAGCCAAAAAGAGTAACCATGTGCAAAGAAAACTAGAAAAGCGCCAGAAGGATCGCCAGCTTGATGCTCACATTGAGGAGCAGTTTGGTGGTGGTCGTTTACTTGCTTGCATTTCCTCTCGACCTGGTCAATGTGGCAGATCTGATGGGTAATTACTTGAATTGTCACTATGCTTAATTTGTGTATAACGAACCACTTTCATAACTATTTCCTTTTTTGCTGGGTTATGCAGCTACATTCTGGAAGGTAAAGAGTTGGAATTTTACATGAAGAAACTCCAGAAGAAGAAGGGGAAAGGTGCTGCCTGATTTTAGGTTTTCCCCAATTTTTATATATGGCTTTAGTCGTTTTTATTTGTTGCTGGTACCATTCATGCTGATGTTTTGTGCCACAGGACATTTAGTGCAAACTATCATCCTAGTATTTCAAATTGACACTTAATTTTGTTTTTAACTGTTTTTTGCTTCTGATGAGTTACAATTTTATAAATGAATGTCTTTTAATCCTTATTGTTGGGGGTCAGGGAAGGTGTGTTCAATATAAATGTGAAGATATATCAGATAGGTTCCTCTCTTTTTTAAAATAAGCAGTATGATTTAATATTAGCAATCTTATTTAGATTTTATTTAGAGTAAGATGTATTGCTTTTTTATCTTTTCTATTTTCTTCTGTCTACTAGAAATAAGAATGAAGCAAAATCATGAATATCAGTTTATTGGGTGATTTCTGAAAACAATATTTGTTTCTATTTTCCTTTAAATTCAATTGGCTAAATTAATATTAATGTTTAATATCCATCGAGGTTTCGAACTCCCAGCCTAAAAGTTTTGTTATCATTCTAAAAATAACTATTCCCAAATCGTATACATCATCAATTGTTTAGTAAAACCAAAAGCACTAACGTAGAATACTTAACCTATATTTAAGAAATGAAGATGCTTGCCTGGAATACTTCATTAATTAATAAATAGTTACCAACACCATAGAAAAATAATATTTCTAAAAGCAACGAGGGTTGTACATTCCAAATGTCATATCCCGTTTCTCAAATCTTTTTGATTATAAAAAGAAAGGGAAAAAGGATGAAAGGAGGAGAAATATTAATCGCACAAGTGATTATTATTTTTAAAAACAAAACATTGCACAATTATTAATTTAGTTCTGATTAAAAGTACACTCGTTGAGCAGAGTTGCTCTTTGATGGAATGTGAATTTGATGAGCGGATTACGTAGATATTCGAAATTTCTTATTATTTTCTTAAATAATTTCGTGGATTAATTTTTTTTTTCTGCATAATTTTGTCGAGTAAGTTGATGCAGTTGAAATTCATTACATATTTATTCATGATTTGTTAAGTGAAGCCTATTTTATGTAACATGAAGAGGAAATTTCTAACTTCCTATTCTAGATCCGTTTAGCAAAATAAGTTAAATGTATCGATCTTATAAGGACTTTGCATATTTTTGGATTTAACATGAAAATCTATGGCTGTTACTAAATATAATCCGTTTAAGCTATTGAATATTTTGAGGTGTGTGGACACCACATAACTATTGCTTGTGATATTGCAGAATACAACAATAAATAAAATCCTTTCGTCACTTCTTCAATATTTGTTATTTTTTTTATATATTTGATAATTTTTCTTATTTTCCTTTAATTCTTTAACAGTTCCCGGATCAAGGAATTGGTTAATCAAAACTTTAACAATAAATGATGAAAATGTATATTGGATAACCCCTTGATAAATGTAAGATCTATATTTTCTTCGGTGATTTTTTGTTGGTAAGACAATTTTTGGTGTATCATCAATGTCAAAAATAAAACCGTAAACAACAGTAAACATAGAATCATAATCAGAAATATAGATCAAACAATCACTATAGTTCATAAATATATACTAAATTAATTCAAAATCATAATCGTTAAAGGTGGAACAATCCAACTAGTTGTAAAATAAATTCACATAGAGTGTTTAAGTATAATTGATTCCTTAAAAATCATTTTCAGTGTACATCTACTCCTAATAAAGTAAGGTTTGAAGAAAAAAAGGTAACAATTCTATTTTTCATGTTCACATAATCACACAATTTAAAATATTTCACACTCTTCTCGTAAGGTTATTATCAAAATCTCAAAAATATGAAATCAATTTATCCTACAACATAACCTTAAAAGATATATAAAAAGAAGAAAATGAAAGTAATTTCAAAATGCATTTAAAAATACATCTCCATTTATTCTTCTCACTAATCTTGGTAAGAAACTTCCATGAAATAACTCAGTCTGGGAATAGAGAAGGAAAATGTGAAAAATAGTTAAGTGTGGAGATGAACTGAACAATCAATGATACAAAATTATAGAAAGGTTGAATCTATTCTAAGGAAGGAGGCTAGAGCAAACTATAGAGAACATCTAGGTAGTGACTCTCAAGAGATTAAATGTTCTAAAGTAATCTTAACAAAGTTTCACTAAACATCAAGAGTGTTAGTAAAACGATGGAGATCTCTTCATTTATAGGAAAATAGATCTCTCTTTACGCTAATGAAAACTACGACATGCCCTATTTTCATGCCTTGATTCATGGATTAGATGACATGTAACACCTCATGTTTATGATGCTTTAACCCATGTGCAAAATGTGCTAAACATGTTGTGTTCTAGAAGGAAGAACATTATACAAAGCTCGACAACTTAACCTTCAGAGAGGAGCTTGACAACCCAACCTTTAGAAAGAGTTCGACAACCCGATCTTCAAGATGAACCTCGAGTGTAAGAAGACATGCCAGCTTAAGAGCCTGGCTGAAACATGAAAACCTGATAGGTCGACCTAAGAGCCTGACAAAAAGCAGGAGAGCTCGACAAGTGACCTAGGAAATCAGTTAGAAACAAGAAAGTCTTATAAGTTGGTCTGGGAGCCTGAATGGAAGTAGGATAACTTAGCTAGATAAAGAAAAGCTCGGTTGGAACAAGGAGAGCTCAACCAGTAACAAGAAAAGGTCAACATACATCTTGGTCCACAAATATAAGATCCAAAAAATACAAAACTCAAGAAATGTATAAGACACCCTATATAATTTTAAGTTATTTGTATATTCAGAGACAAGGAAATTAAAATTAAATCTAGCCATGTTGTATGTTGTAAGTGCTTAGTACATCACTCTAGGCATTTGAAATTGTTAAGAAAAATATCTATTTTAATTTACAGTTAAACCAAAACATTTCATACTTGTATAATAACAGACACCTCCATAATATCAAAATTCACAATAAATCCAATAAAATTAATTTCTGCATTATATAAACTTTTATTTACTCAAAACATTAGATTCTTGCAAAATTAATTCTTCTAATACAACCCTTCCTGTTTTGTATAATTGAAAGCATCTTCATGCCAAGTTTATTAAAATTTTAACTTAAAACGCATAAACTAAATCTAAAAATCTTTTTTCAATAACTTCATCGATCATTTACCAAAGCTCAATATATATTAAAAAACAAAATTTTACTTTCCAATAATATTTCCAGAAAAATTCGCTCAAGTCAAAACATTTAAGTAATAGAAAAATGGAACTTTAATCTGAAATGAAGAAATATCTTAAATTTAAAAGTACATAGCTAATTGTAGGGAAAGAAATTTAATATATTTTCTCGCCTTTCACTCATAAACCCAGTGAAGTTTTGTGGGGAAAAAAAGATAACAAGATTAACACGAAAACAACCAAATCAAAAGTTTAATAATCTAAATTGATAACTTCCAGATTATTCTCATTGGTACCTAATTATTCTAATTATGTTGCAGAATAATCTCTCTCTCTTTTTTTTCTATCTAACCACTTGAATAACGTCAATGTTCACTTCAAGTAAGAATCTGATCCATAAATTAGAAACATTCTTTTTAAAAATGAGTCAATAAAAAATTGCATTAGTTTTTATATTGACTGAATATGTAACTTACATTCTCATTCTATAGATGATGATCGTAGCTGTTAAGATGAAATGAAGAAAAACAAAATCGAAATATATATATTTGGATTTTGTTGATATTAAACAGCATTATGTACCCTCCTTTAATTCTTTAGTATTTGTTATTTTATGTTATTTACAAAATTTTCCTATTTTTTTCTCGTTGCTTCAACAATTTTATCCCTAATTAATTTTACGAAGAGTCGACGCATTAGTAAATTGACGTTGATATGAAGCTTTTTATATTCAAATAAAAATAAGTTCAGATTCCCTAAGTTGCTTACATGGAACAATTGAACCAGAAAGGAAATGTTATGCAACTTTAACTACCAAAAATTACAAATCAAGCCAAAACAATTATTGAAAATTGCTTACTATTTTCTTACCTGAAATTTAGATGAATTTTGTTAAAATTCTATATTTTCCTTTTGTGAGCACCAATGCATTACTCCCTTCATTTTTGAACTTTTAAACGTGTCGTTTAAGATTAATTTTAGAGTATTTAATAATAAAATAATTTTCTTAGTAAAGTGATTGTAAGATTTTCTGTTTTCTTCTTTTAACATTACAATAAATACATATATAAATTAATTAAAAATTAGATAATTAACAAGAAAGTAATTAATATTATGTTGATCTTTAAAAATAATATTGAAATAAAAACAAAGAACTTAAAACCAGTTAAAAAAATGGGTAAGTATTTTATAGCCTTAGCAATAGATACATTTGTGATTGCTAGAGATCCCCTCTCACATGCATGTAAAACCAGCACAAATTTGAATCATCCATTGACAAGGCTCAAAGTTTCATCATAATCAGGTGTACAAAATTAAACCATGATAAAGACAACCAATAAAATTAAAAATGCTTGCTGATTGGTGTCAAAAACCTCACTGCCTGATAACAAATACCAATAGAGCAAAGCCACAATGAACTATATGTGATTGTACAGTTTGTCAATGAAAAAGAATAACAAATGTTATAATCTAACAATCTCCACCCTTTCAGTTCAGGAAGGCAAGTAATTGTATATTGGCATTTTATAGGTCAGGAACGTTGAACCCTTTTCTTTTCCAAAGTGTGGATACGATTTGCCATTAGGAACTGAAACAACTTTTATGTAACTTTAAGGCATATGCTTGGCAACAACAATGAGGCATAAGTCTTTACACCAAAAACAAACAGAACTGCAAGTTTGGCGTGTCAAGCAGCAACTGATTTGCTTTAATTGGGAGCTAAAAACCACTGAACAGCTTAGGCTCAAATCAATGTGTTCAGGATGGTTTAAGGTTTGGCCATTCTGACCTTTATCAACGAGGATCTGAGAAGAGGATTTGTATGCACATAAAATCCAAAATCTGGACATCAACTTACCTGCTCTCCGATCAAATCAAGACCAACAACCAGAAAACTTATCCCTTGAAACAAGAGGAAGTAGAAGTGAATTCCTTGGGCAGATAGTAAGCTTCTAACTGAGGCGGTCAACAAAATAAATGCAAGACAAAGTTCTTTCCTGAAGAGACGATTTCTCTTGGTCTTCCCAGTTTTCTTTGACAATTCTAGTTTGCTTAGTTCCTCAAGGCCTGAATCTGAGTTTGATCTATGGAGACTGTTAGATCGCATTAGGGGTTCAGATTCTTTCTCAAAGGCAACCAAATCTGTCTCTGATGATCTTCCCAACTTTTTTGTAACCACCCACTCATAAGAACTTCCAAAGCGAAATAATCCAGATACCATGGCATTGAACTTAGTTACTGACATAGTGTTCTCAAATAGAAGATAAGGAACTATAAATGGAAATGAACGTGGAGCTGGGAGAACACTTAAGAGGGACATAACTCCAGGAATGTAACATACAACCCAGGCTGGGAGCTCAGCTTCGGGAAGGAACATGGTCAATGGAAGAATTATGCAGAATAGGGTGAATGAATAAAATGGCAGGATAAGTTTCCTCAGGAGGAAGAAAAGAAATATCAAATTGAACTTCTTTGCCCAACTAACCTGGTACAAATGGAAATAACATCATACAAGTCAAATTATTTTAATAAAATGGAGGACAAAATGAATCAGTATTCCCTATAGTGCAAGATGTAGACAAATAACAGAACAAAAGTTTCGTACTGAATTTAATAGCACTTTTAAGGTAAAGAAGAAGAAAAAGAAACACGTTGAATAAACCTGTACTCCATTATTCCACTGCCCTAGATGCTTTAATAGTGTTGCTTGCCTTAAGCATAACAAGATGTTTGATACAGATAAAAAAAAATGACTAATTTTTTACCCCATGGATCATGACTGTTCTTAAAACATCAATTACTTTATAACTGCCTTACCAATGATGTTCTGGGGGTTTTAATAAGTGATCTTAGAACCCATTTTAAATTATTGAGCTGAACTGGGCATTGAAATAATTTTTCGGCATTTGTATGACCTTATTTCATTGTTTTAAGCCTAACTTGAGTTGTATATTAGCTATAGGTGTTCTTTATATGCCAGTAAAGATGATCGACAAATTCTGCGAACTGTTAAATTGGAAAAAATGGGATTTTTAATGGCTAAATTGGAGCAGAGCAGCCATGCATATTGAAGGTACCCTCATCGTTATAAACATATCTCACCTATTTTAAGCCTGGCCAAGGCAATGAACACTCCTTCGAAATTTTATTTCCTAGGCTATCTTTTGAACTAGGTTTAGACTGGGGATAATGAAAAGAACAGCATCTGCAATATAGGGAACTTAAAATAAAAGTTGACAACTCATTGTTTAGTGATTTTGAAAGCTCCAAGATTCTTCCCTTTAAGATTGCCGTGCTGTTGGATTTCTGCAGTCTTCTTTAAGCTTTTCCGATGGCAATTGTTGTGAGATACCCAAGACCTTATAAATCTAAAGGATTTAAGGATTGTCGTTTGGGTATTTTTTTTCTATGCTTTGTCTTTGTTTTGTATGAATTATCTGTATCTATTCTTCTTCAGAGTTCTCTTGCAAAGATGAATATGTTTGACATATTTCTGACTGGATCTATATTTATATAATTGAAGCAATAAAAACTAGCATCGATTAATCAGACACCTAATTAAGGTTAGTTCAATTGATTGTTAATCGACATTAATTGAATAAAATAAACACAAATTTAGGATAGTGATTATGACTTTGCTTAGTTAATTGAAATCTAGGCCATTATATGGTGGAAATTCAAAAATTAATAAATAAAAAAATAACTACATATGAATTTAATGCCCAGGATTAGTGATTTGCTTTCTAGATTTGAAATTCTTAATTACATTTCTATCTGGATTTTCTTTGCTTTCCTGATTTGAACACAAACCCCACCCTCTCCCGAAATCCGTAACTTTTTATCGGACTAGAAATGCAATGTGTTTTTGGAAAATACTATATATAATTAAGCAACCTGGTCATATTTTGGCTTTAGTGCGGCATTGTGTCACATCCCAGGCTACAATTTACTTGTCTTTAAATTCCTAAAGGGTAGACAGAAAGGTATGGAGTGAGTAGTAGGTATTTGACAGCTTTATGAGAAGTATCTAATGATTTTGTTGCAAGATACTATCAAATCCCATTGTTTAGCAGGAGATACAGTTCTTTGTTTTATTATTATTAAAAAAGGATGAGAGTGTGTGTGTACATGAATGGGACTGGACGAACTTAACAGATTAAAATACATAACTGGAGCATTAGGAGCTATGACCTTAAAGGCATACAAGATGTTATCCTAGGAGAGGCATATCATGAGCATTACTAAGACTAAGGCATGAAGCACGGTTGATGGACTTTACATTCTTCTAGTATACAGTTGGTGGGTTAAGCATTTAAGTTTTAACCTCTTACACGTCTTCTCAAGAAAGAAGATGAAAAAAATACTACACATAATATAGTCAAACATTCAGTAAAATGATTAGTAAGAAGCATATAATTCAAAGTATCAAATTGGGAACATTAACTAATACTATTTGTTCCTTCCTCAGCTTAATAGTAAGTAAACTACTTTACAGTCATATTTTCATTGAAACAAATCAGCATAAAATATTTATCTAGCCTAAATATATTTGATACCATCAACTCATCAAGTAAGCTCTTTTCTTATGCTAATCTACCTCCTCATGTCTTAAACTAAGCTAATAATGACCACAACAGTTACCTTCATGTTGTGCACATGATTCTAAGTGGATTTATCCGATAACAATTCAAATTTTAATATCAAGAACTGGATATTCTCACTGATTAACAATTTGGATATATAGTTCTGGAAGTTAAATTACTGAAAAGGATCAAACTATATTTATATTCTGATAGTAATAGTAATAATAACATTAACAAAAACATCAACATAATAACAACAGAATGATAGTTTCCAGATTTAAAAAAATTCAATTTCTCTGGAAAGAAAAAATGTGCTGAATTCAATACCTTTGAACGAAGTATATCAAAAAAACATAAGCGAAACAACTGCATTGGACCTGAATGCCACCGGTGTTGTTGTTTCTTATATGCCTCGTAGGTCTCTGGAAGTTCACAAAGACACTACAAGAAGCAAAATAGTAATATTAAAGTCTAATAATGTATGATTAGCAACCAAAATTTGAAATATAGTGCACCTTAACATCATTGACGAATATAAACTTCCATCCACAAAGATGAGCACGAACAGCAATATCCATATCCTCAACAGTCGTTCGCTCCAACCAACCACCACTTTCCTCAAGGGCCTTTATTCTCCACACACCAGCAGTTCCATTAAAGCCAAAGAAGTTAAGGAAGATACCATTCACCTGTTGTTCTACCTCAAAGTGGAAAGACAAATTGATATTCTGCAATCTCGTAAGCAAGTTCTCGTCCTTGTTTACAAATGCCCATCTTGCCTGAACTAATGCCAAATCATCCCTTCCCTTCAGTTAGAGCATAACAAGGGGAAAATTCGTTAGACAAGATGCTTAATACAGGAGCCAAAAAGAATTTTCATTTAAAATGACATAGTAATAAATAGAAATTGTCTACTATTTGTTTACACTGTTGAAAACATTTTTTCAGTATTTATTTAGTTTGTGATATAAATATAGTCTTTATATCTAGAACTGATTTTGTTTACTGCATTCAACTAGAAGTCATCAATTGCTTTATAGCTCTAACAATGATGCACTGTGAATAATATATAAGCAAAGACAGAAGTAGCATCAAAGGAGCTGGAATTAATAATTCAAACTAGTTTAGAATTGGGGGAAAAGTGGAGATTCTCAACATATTGGAAGAATTTCAAAATAACATTATTATATTTAAATTTTTTAACTTTGGTAGGAGAGCTAGGATACTATGTAGTTTAATCAGGGAAGGGAGCTGGTTTAATTAGTTCTATCATTTGTAAATAGAGTACTTGCTTTTTACGAAAGGAGAAATCCTTATTGGAGGAGGAGTATTCTTTCTCCTAGTATCCATTTAACTAATATAATCTTTCTTAACTAAAACGCCTCCCTCTTGAAGTTCAACTTTGTCCTCAAGGATGGAGTGATAGAGCTATGTTTTCGGAGCACAAATGGGAGAGGACGATGCTGAGTTTTTGCTAAGCATGCTGCTTGTAACACAAAATGGGATCTTTGCAGATTGTTGAGCTCCAACGCCATTAACAATGAGACAAGTTACTGCAAATGTAAGCCTCAAAGTGTGCCCTTGGAGAAATTCTTCTTCCTTCAGTTACACCAATATTTTTCAGCCTCTTCAGTCAAGATCTCTCTGGTGGCCTGGGCTTCGCCAATCTGGTTATGAAATGAGATTGATTGGTGTAATTCCAATTATTGCCTCTTCTCTTCATTTGCAAAGTCCTTGTTGCCATCATTGGATCTTCGACCAGCCCATTGACTGACATATAGACTTGAATCAAGCAGTTTAACCAGTAGAAGATTGACCAATATATGTGACTTGGTTGTGTAACAAAAATTGATATGGACTAAATACAACACTGAAGGTTCAAAACTTCAGTTAGGAATGAAAGGATGGTGGATTGCTGTGCATGTGTACAACCCATAACTCTTTTCTCTGAATGATTAATCCGATTTTAAATCAGCAATTATACCATTACAGGTACCATTATATACTTACATGATATGCTAGAACCTATAGATCCAAAAGTGCACTAATCTTAATTTTTATAGTGAGAAAATCATGCATAGCATCTCCAAATTAAAACTCAAAGCTAAAGCACCTTCAGGTTCTACTACTTAGACTAATTTTAAGGATGTGTTTATCTAAAACATAAAATCTTATAATCATTTTATTAAGTCTAAATAACAAAAATATATTAATGTCCTTTTTCATATTCAAATATAAGCCAATATATTTACTCGAATCAACAGTGTTTTAACTTCAACTTTATAGGCATAAAATTACCTTGAAATAGGGCACTGTTTTCTTTAAGAAATCCGGTGTTGGCTGAAAATCAGCATCAAAAATTGCCACAAACTCATAATCCTTAACATAATCACAGCCCATTGCTGATTTAAGATTCCCTGCCTTGTAGCCTGTACGTAGAAGCCGGTGCCTATATATTATCCTAACACCCCTTTGTTGCCATTTATGCACTTCTGCCTTGATAAGCTGTTGGGTATCTACTTCATCAGAATCATCAAGAATCTGAACGAGCATTCTCTCCTTTGGCCAATCCAGGATACAAACTGCTCCAATGGATTGCTGGTAAACCTACAGGCCAACAAGATAAAAATTAAGTAATTCACAAAAAAACAGCAGAGGTAGAGTGATATAAAGTTAAGAGTCATATTCCTAATAATCCACATTCTAGGGTGTAGGGAAAGTGCTGATTGGAAGAATATTTTAGTGACATTGGTGATGAGAAGATGCAACTCCTCCTTTGATACTCATTAATATAGTATTAAAAAAGACAAGAATAGAAGAGGAAACTAGTGAGGTATCATGATATGAAAAGAAAGGGAGAAGACTGTATTTGAAGACACAATAATTAGACAAGCAAATTTTTGTAGGACAAGAGTGTATGTGTTACGTGCCTGCTCAAAGATTAAGAACAAGAAAGAGAAAACGTAGACTAAGTTTTTTTCTGTATTATTTCATCAATTGTCAACTCTAAACACAAACATCAGCTTACAAAGGAAATCTCTTTTCACACACGGAATACCATGTCAACTAAAAGTCTTATTATCTCAACATCCCACCAGATAAGAATATATAGACTTTCTCAAAAAGTCCCCCCATAACAACTAACAATTTAACTACTTTTATTTTTAAATTTCTTCCGATAATACACTTTCCAAATCCTTTAATTACTTCACTGTTTAACAGTATGTGAGTGAATGTGCACAAACACACACACTCTCTCTCTCTCTCTCTCACACACACACACATACACACACACATACACACACACACACACATATTATGCATCAAAGCATTTGGGTGTTATTATTAATCAAGCATATGAATGTTAAACAAATCTATTGCTTTTTCTTTCATCCTGTTTTGGTTCGCATAGCCAAGTGCTAGTTGCTTCTATCAGCTAAGCATTGCAATTTCTTCCCATAAGTGGAGCATTAGGAAAAAAATATTTTTTCCCTACAACAACCACATACACAGAACAAGCCTCTGCCATTTCCTCTTTCAAATGGAGCACTAAATCCCAACATCTAACCTGGTCTACATCTCATTCACAATATCTCAGCAAACATCCATTCAATTTCATTTTTAATGGTAAAAGGTAAAAACAACTTAATGACTGCTTGTATAAGTAAGCACTTAAGTTGTTTACCCAAACAAACCCTTATAAAATCACCCAAACCCTTGTCTCAAAAATCTCTCTAGCATAACTTAAGGAAACAACTTGAAACTCATATGAAAACAGTTTAACCCAATTTCCTTGTAGAAACATCTTATAACCCTGTGTTTATTTGATNTCAAGCATATGAATGTTAAACAAATCTATTGCTTTTTCTTTCATCCTGTTTTGGTTCGCATAGCCAAGTGCTAGTTGCTTCTATCAGCTAAGCATTGCAATTTCTTCCCATAAGTGGAGCATTAGGAAAAAAATATTTTTTCCCTACAACAACCACATACACAGAACAAGCCTCTGCCATTTCCTCTTTCAAATGGAGCACTAAATCCCAACATCTAACCTGGTCTACATCTCATTCACAATATCTCAGCAAACATCCATTCAATTTCATTTTTAATGGTAAAAGGTAAAAACAACTTAATGACTGCTTGTATAAGTAAGCACTTAAGTTGTTTACCCAAACAAACCCTTATAAAATCACCCAAACCCTTGTCTCAAAAATCTCTCTAGCATAACTTAAGGAAACAACTTGAAACTCATATGAAAACAGTTTAACCCAATTTCCTTGTAGAAACATCTTATAACCCTGTGTTTATTTGATAAACACTAATTCAATAAACACTTAATAAAGTAGTCCGCTCAGAAAGAACCTCATAATACTAAGCACCCAAGCCACAACAGCAGAAACATTCCCATCACTAAAATCTACATCAGTTGAGCACATAATTTAAACAAGACACCAGATCACAAACACATAACAGAACCGACATTGAAGGTCAGCATTCACAGATTCGGACGTTCCAAAAGGACAAAGCAACCTACATCTTCTTACCTCCCTCTCATTGCACATGGGAATCTGAACCAACACCATCGGGAAATCCTCCGCGCTAATACCCACAGTATCGTAATCAACACTTGCCACAGGCTTCAGCCTCCGAAACTTGATCCAGAAGCACCCCAAGATCAAAACGACCCGGTCCACCGACTGCACGATGAACAAAACGGTGCACAAATTCGCCAGGCTCTGCAACGGCGGCGACATGTACCGGGCGCGGGCGTCGACCCACACGGCGTAAACGACGGCGAGCATGCCCAGGACGTCGCTGGGATCGGGGCGCCTGAAATGCCATCCCTTGAAATACGCGACGAGCTCGAACCCCAAGAGCACAATCACCACCACGAGAAAGACGCGGATCGCGCGGTAGAGCCGCGACGAGTCGCCCCGCAGCGACGCTGAGTCCGCGATCCGGCGGTGCGCGGTGCGGGCGAGGTGGAAGACGCCACCGTAGAGCCAGCCGAGCGAGGCGGCGAGCTGCTGGCATTTGAGAAGGCATACCCAGGAGAGCTGGCGAGCGCTCCGGGAGCGTTCTTTTTTGGATGCGACGGAGGAGGAGGAGGAGTCAACGTCGAGGGCGGTGAAGGGCGGCGGAGAGGCGGAGTGGGAGTGGTCGAGCTTGGCGTCGTTGAGGGGATCGAGGTTGTTGTTCTTCTCACGCTGCTTGTTCCACCATTCCTGGAACTCGTAGTTAGGAGTGCGAGACATGGAATGAGAGAAGAAGAAGAAGAAGAAGTTGAATTGGATGATAAAGAAGAAAGATAAGAGAGATCTTTCTTCTTTATTCTTTCTCTCTGTTTGTGTCTGCTTGATCCAAATGAAGACCTATAATTAAGGTACCACCAAGTTTTTAGCTGCATGTGTTGCTCTTTTGTTCATTCTCAGTTTCAGGGGCCAAGAATTCAACTTCCTTCTACGATTTTATTTTAACTACCATAATAATTATAATAAATTATTTATAACTATATAAAAGATATTTTCTTTTTTTACATATTTTACTTTCCTATATATATTTGCTTAATATATGTAAAATTACTTTTTTTATTTTCTTCTAGTTTATTACCCTCCTCACATAATCTCATTCGATCTCACTTTTTATGCCTCATTTTTATTTTCTAACTTATAAGTATTTTAGTATCTCACATTTAATTTGTGCTTTCTCTACTAATGAGTTCAATATCTTAAATATTGTCTCAAATTTTAACTCGATAAAATAAAATATGAACACAGAGCGTCTTATTCTTTCGTTAATAAAATAATAATAATAATTTACAATGTATATCTCTTTTATGGAACTGTTTTTCCAATCGTACATTTGATAATAATATTTTTAAGTCAAAATACAAAATTCACAATAAATATAAATTTAAAAAATACAAAACAAAATTATTTAAAATATGAAGGAAAAGAGAAAAATAAGAAATTAAATAGCTAATAGTGAGAACTTTCTTCCATCTAGACTAAGAAGGGAACTAATTCAAACTAATATAATGAAATTGTTATTTTTGTTAATATTTATCATAATTATTTAATGAAAATTTTCTTGTTTCTTTATTTTTAATTGAATTTTTATTTTATTTAAAAAGAATTAAAGTGATTTTTTCATTAAATTGACATTGATGTCAATAAGAGAATGATGATTAGAAAGTTAAACATTAAGATATGGTAGATAATTTGAAATAATATTATTACATTGAAAGATAAGAACATTGTCATATTTGTTCATTTTACATAGCTATCTTACCTTCTTCACCTCTTCTCGGTTTGCCATTCATTCCTTATCAATGACTCTTTCAATCATCATCCTTGATATGCACACATAAATTACATATATTACAAACCAATCCAACAACATATATATACTAATAAAGAACTTACTATAAATGTTACACGATATCTACCTAAGTTAAAAATGTCCCATTCGTACCACATTTCCCTCGATCATTAATTATCACAAAAAATGTTCATAAAAATAAAAAACATTACATTGAATAATTCCAAAAAATATTACAAAAAAGTCCTATTGTAATATAACTTCAATATGCAACAAATAATACATTTAATTGTCCTATTCATATAAAAATTAAAATCATATGAAATAAATAATAGTAACACGTACATATTTTGTTTCCACAAAATTATAAACTCGTCTAATAAAAATTACGGATATATAATTGTCATAGTACTTATGCTTACTTGATATCCTTTTTACACATTTTTCTAAATCCTAAAACATGTAATAGTATTTATTATTTTTCTTATGTTTCATCCCCTTTTAGAACTACAAAAACTAATATTTTACCTCACCTAGTTCTCTATGCATGTATGGCTTCAATTGTTTTTCATCTTAAATTTAAATTTCTTAAACAATATTTCAAATTTAAACAAAGCCACGTAAAAATATATAAATTATATATATATATATATATATATAAAATATTTTCTTACTCCTTTTGTACCAGCCTAATATAAAATAATAATCAATATTACTAAGGCCTTTTTTTGTCGTTTATTTGAGTGAATTTGGAGGTAAATGATAGTGAATTTGGAAATAAAATTTGTAAGAATTAGTATAGAATTGTATTGACGTGACAAATTAAAAAAATTTATTTTCAAATTCACTCTCATTTACCTCTAAATTCACTCAAATAAACGACAAAAAAATTTATCTTCAAATCCTTTTAAATCCCCTCAAATTCACACTCTCAAATCACTCAAAAGTACAAGGCCTAAAAACTTTTAAAGAGTGTATTGAATATTCTTTCTAAATTGATGTATTCCATACTTAAAACTACATCAATAAGATCCTAAAGTACTTGATTTAGACGCATGCTATTATAGTTATATCAAGAAATGTTGACATTTCTTGTTCTAAATTTCTATATTTTTAATTAAAGTAAAATCGTCTTTTGTTAAATATACTTATAATAAATAAATCAGATAAATTATTATAAAATAACAAAACTTATTTTAATATTTAACACATTTTTAGCAACTTTACACGAGAAAATTAATATGCAATAAATTAACTAATATAGAGTCTAAAGTTTAGACTTTTAAATACAATTAAAGTACATTAAAGTTTAGAATATCGATTATATGAAAAAGTTGACGCAAGTACAAAATTAAAACATTAATTATTATTTTTACTGAGTGAAATTATTTTAGGAAAATAATTATACGTAGTTATATTAATATATTTTTGTTTTCTCCTTATTTCTTAATTTTCTTCTAATTACATAGTTTATTATATTCATTACTTTTTTTTTTCAATCAAAATAAATCCGGAAACTAATGGAAGCTTATGATTTTCTTGTGTTTAGTATTATTTAATATTTAAATAGAAAAATATATAAGAAAAAAATCATATAATAAAAATGACGAAATAAAAAGTATAGGTATTAATAAAAAGTGTATTTTATACTGCTTGATACCTCCATAGAATTAAGTTTCTACCGTAATTAATACATTTTTTATTTTCATGAAACTAAAGCATAAAACGATATGATGGCATTTTCGAAAATTTCATGAATATATAATAGATCTTGGTTTGATAAAAATTAAAGTTATATCCACCTTTTGTCGTGGTTAAAAAAGAATCAAAACCTAAAGAGTGTCAAATAATAATAAAAAATTAAAAAAAATGATATTTTAAACTGACACAAGGTCTATGACTTCAACTATTTAAACAATAGTTGTCATAGGATTTTAAAAAAATCTCCCTAAAAACTGACAAGTATCTGAACAAGGCTTATAGCTTCAGTTATTTAAAGAACCACTATCATAGGATTGTGCAATACTAACATTATTTCTAAAAAATGACATTTTAAGCTAATAAGTATCTGAATATGGTCTATGACTTTGGTTATTTACATAACCGCTTTATAGGATCTCCAAAACTTACATCCCAACCAATTCAACTTGATGAAAGGGACAAATATATCTGGACAATGTCAAGATACCTCGATGAGAGAGCCTAATAGATATCAGTTATTCCAATTTGATGAGTATAGGATGAGACTTGATACATCTTGACAATCTTGAACAAGTACATTAGGCAAAATATCAACTTGATACATAAGACTAAAGTTATGAGATGGGAACATCTTGAACAGGGACTTGTTGTATTCAACTAAGAAATAATTTGTTTTCTTAGAGTATTCATTATCATTTATGAAGGAACATTCTTTAAGATAATTAAAGAGAGTCGGGTATAAAAAAAGGTTTAGTTTCAAGTAAATGGTATCTTAATCTTTCTAACGTTACTAAAGTTTTCACATACTTTTCTATCACTTAGTGTCAGAGTACTTGCAAGTACCCGCTCCCCATTGGCTTACTATAACCATATCAAACAAGGATATTTCAATCTAGAAGACATAGCACATCTTAGTTAATAGTCTAGGAATAACACTATACCTTGCAGTGTAAATCGGTTCCACACAAGAACATTTTAGCATAGGGGTTGATAACAAGGTTCTAAGACGAGTCATCGACCCCTTAAGCCCTTCATTGGGATGAACAATCTTTCCCTTTAGACATTGATTAGGGGGCTTATCTTCCTACCATGTCCAATAGTTTCACACCGCTTAAGAGTCGAGACCAAAAACAATTTAAATATTCTTTTCTCTTTTCATCCTCTAAAATGACTTTTAAGGTTAAAATCATTATATAACTTCAGTATCCAAAGTGAATAATATCTTAAAAATACAATAATTGATCCTAATGATGTTTCGACAGATTTGGGATCGAAACATAAGGTTTAATATAAAAATGACTTACGTTATGTGAATATGAATATTTTTATGCTTTATTTTACGTGTTGTATGAATACACTACATGGAATGATTCGTCTAATGTATGTTGCTAGACTCATGTAATGTTTGTTGCTATACTCATATAATCAATATATGAACATACTCATCCAATGCATATTTCAAGATTAATCTAATAAGTGAATAAACAAACTTGTTTAATGTGTATTAATAGACTCATCTAATTTGTGTATAATAGGAATTGTCTAATGTATATTACTAGAGCCCTCTAATCAATATATAAATGACTCGTCTAATATATATTGTTGGACTCATTTAGTCAATACATCGACAAAATATTCTATTTTTTTTTCCATTGCTCATCTAATCAATATATTCATAGACTTATCTAATAATTTTTTATACTCATCTAATCAACATATGAAATGATTTGTCTAATATTTTTTGTTATATTTATTTTATGGACAGTCTTGTGTAAATTTTTGTTATATTCTTCAAATCAATGTATGAAAAGACACTCTAATGTATATTTATAGATTTCTTTAATTAATATATTGACATACTCGCCTAATATGTATTGTTAGACTTGTTTAATTAATATACATACACACTTGTATAAGGTGTATTAGTAAACTCGTCTAATCAAAATATATTCATAATCGTGTAATGTGTATTGCAAGACTCGTTTAATCAGTGAATGGACAAACTCGTCTAATATGTATTAATAAACTCATCTAATCTGTGTATAAATATACTTGTCTAATGTATATTACTCGACTTGTCTTAATTAGTGTGTAGACATACTCATCTAGTGTTTGTTGGTAGAGTCGTTTAATTAGTATATGAACATAGTCTTTCAATCAATGTATGTGCATACTGATTTAATGTGTATTGCAAGACTTGTTTGACTAGTGAATGAACAAAATCGTATAATGTGTATTAATAGACTCGTATAATTTGTGTATGGAGACACACTTGTGCAATGTATATTTCTAGACTCATCTTATTAGTGTATGAACAAACTTGTCTAATGTTTGTTGCTATACTTGTTTAATTAGTA